CAACTGGAGAGTTAATTAAGTATTGATCGAGCGAACATTCTGTGTGCTTCCATCGTTCGATGCTCCGCTTCAAGTGTAAATAAATGCTTTTAATGAGTAGATTAAATCGACTGAAATAGATGCGTGGCCGGCTACTTGACAAGTGCGATGTCATTAGGCACAATTAAACTCAGCTGCATGCAACCTATTCTAAAATTTCCCTTGCCGACTAGTGAAGACTTACGTAATATATGCCAAACACAAGCATCGCCACAACTTACAGTTGCCTATGCATAGATCCTGTAGAGAATGCCCCCTTGTTTTCTAGGAAATGTTATGTGCAAACACAGATACTGGCTCCTCGATATGGGCACGCATTGTATCATGACCTAACCCTCCACGAATTGTATTAATTACTCCCACACCAGCCTCTGGCTAACCGGATATAAGGCATGAACACCAAAGACACACTGACACCTCGCACGAGACGTAAACAGAAAAGAAATACTTCAATTCCATGCAAGACGAAAAACGTTAAAAGAAAAGTTATTGCTGCCAACATGGAATGCCGATGAATAAATTCCACGATCGCTGCCTAGCAGACAGGCTTGATGCTGGCACAAGCCAGCATTAATCCCTGCACAAACGCTACTATGTACACATGCATTCACTAATTCTACTCCACACAAACTCATACAAAACACGAGTTAAGCATAGTGCAACATTGCCAAGCCTTGAAGCGACATGTAAGCGTGCATTCGTCAAATCTGCGCTACACGGCATATATAATAGTCTAGTACACAACATGAATGAGAGCGCTAGCGTAACGAGGAACAGTAGCCAGCACACAACACGGCTCAACGATAACAACATCGATTAGGTACGAAACACAAATCATAGATCCACAACATATACAGAGATACACAACATGAGTTAGTAAACAAAGATGATCAGAGATAAACAACATCTAGGTTAGTAAACAAAATGAAACAGAGATAGAGTCACACGGGTCTGCACAAAACATTGATCAAAGATGCACAACAAGAGTTAGTAAACAATTATGATCAGAGTCTCAGAAATAGTGTAACACAGGATTGCGCACAACATTGAGCAGAGAACGTCAGACACAGTCAAGCATCTACGGCATTAATGTTCATACATCTCGGGGATAGGTGGCATTGGAAGCCATGTTATGTAGTTGATTCTTCCCGAAAAAAACGACCACATGTTAATTGAAGAGACCCACTGAAGGACAAGTGTAAGGACAACTAAACAACATCAGAGTCTAGCACTGCCTGCTATTGACTCGCTCTCTCGCACCTTAACAGGGATCAGGTGACAAAAATTTCGCTCCTGCCCTTACATGTATCACGCTTGAAATATTCATGTCGATTGTATTTGGGAAGAATGTAGAAGCAGACGCGGAAGCAGAAGCTTGAAATATTGATGACGACTGTGTTCAAGAGAAAAATAGAAGCTGAAGAGACTTTCGAGTACGGTTCACTAAATGTCAGAAACACACCTTCACACATTGTGCTGTATAAGAGCAGCAGGTGAATATAGACTAATGTATCAGTGTATCACATCAACCACAGTATCCATGAAAAAGTACAAATCACCAGTATGCTGCAATTTTACTGCACAGTGTCAGCGGAGACCAGACTTCCAACCACTCCTTGTGTCAGTCATACACTCACCAGTAAGTGTATATCAGCACTGGGTGGACACTGGTGCAAACTAGTAACTCTATCCGCTACACATCTGCTCACAGATTTTTATCCACTCAGTGGTAGACTGGACCCCACCCGCCTGCCCACTGTAGGGAAAGAGCTGTGGCTGTTTGGTCTAACCCCTACTACTGTTACTATGATCGCTTTGAAGAGAATAAAAAGATTGCCGTTTATTTATTCATCTTAGCGTAATTCACAAGCGCTTTAGTTTAGTGAGATTGGGCACTTATAAATGTGTAAACTTCACATTATAAAGCTCATGATATCCTAAATAGGGAATCAACATCTACATGGTTACGTCGATCTGTCACTCTTGACAATTACTCAACGGTAAAACAAAAACGAAACAACACGCAGATCTATGTTCATGACGGGAGTCACTGACTGTAAACCCACTTTCTCCCAAGTATGCATACAAAATTCGGATCAAGGATAGTTTCAGGCCCCCGTAATATGTTTTGGCATATGTGCTACTGATCTGGGGTGCTAAATTAGGCTTGGCCCGAAAATTCCACGACTACCACGGCCAGCGGCAACCTGAGAGTGAGAGAGTGATACTACTACTGCTAGTACTAGTAGTAGTGATAGTACTACTACTAGTAGCTCTAGTACTATAGCCCGCATTCATTAACTGCAACAGGCATAATAACCTGCGGCAGTTAATGAAAGCGGGCTATAGTACTAGAGCTATACTACTATTACTACTACTACTACTAGGCCCTAGTGCATGCTCAAACCCCCACCGCCGTTTTTAAACATCTTCAAAACATTTTAAAAATCAAGCGCTCTAGGTACAGCACGGGCGCCTGCGAATTAAACGGAGACACGTTTTACACGCATTACGACTAACTAGTGACATTAAACGGTAGAACTCGCAAGTTTAAATACATATACTCACATATAGTGGTAGTTGCATCTGAAAACCAACACTTGCTCTGCGACGAAAGGACATCATTTGACGAACGCTCACTTGTTAACAGAATGCGCGAGCAATATAAAGATGGCCGCGCACAGGAGTAATGTTATTTGTTTATTGATCTGTTATTTCTACGCTTTCTAGACTTAGATAGGTGTTTTAGATTCTCACATTGGTTGCGAAATTAATTACGTGTGAATTATTTAAAAGATTGTTGAAAATGTGCTTGTTCGTGCTCAGACCCAGGCTATAATTTAGTTTGTTGTAAATTTGTACTACTAGTAGTAGTACTACTACTACTACTACTACTAGTACTACTACTAGTACTACTACTACTACTACTACTAGTACTAGCAGGAGTAAGATAATATTATAGGATCCTATATTATCTTACTCCTGCCACTAGTACTACTACTAGTACTAGTACTACTAGCCACTGCCACAGCCTGCAAGGCCTATAGTAACTAAGCCTAAGGAATATTGAATCATAGGATTGGCGGTACTGGCTGCTGCACCCATTATTCGTTTTCAATTGCATAATTATATTTCTAATTTACAGAATCATGAGAATGCACTGCCACTGCCACTGGGAGACATCAGAAGATATGACAACATGCAACACTCGTACACATTATTCTGATGAGTAAACTGGTTGAAAACTGCATAAAAGATAGGAACACACACAATAAGGTTGCTACATAGCACAATACAGCGGCGATGGCTGTACGATACACGCGTCTACCAACTGATGACGACTCCGGCGGGGAAAGCATATCATTTGAGTCGCCATTCCAATATGGAAGAACTGCAAATTACGGTTCAGCATTTGAGTTTGGCAATGACCGGAGTTCTAAGTGGAAATCGATTTTTTCTTATGGACTCAAGTGGGAGCCAACTATATCATCTATTGAAAAGTGTATGGGAATATATATTTGTAGCTACTAAACATTTACTGTGTTTTGTTCCTTATGTAATTAAAGATGCTACACATATTACTTCATTTACTGATGTTGTGTAATAGTTGAATACTTGATTGTATTGAGACTCTATACTGAAATTTTTTAATATCTAGCAATGTATATGGATTTTGACTACCATGGAATTGTGTTTTTTCCATTTTGCTCTAGCATACAATCCACCTCTGCTGACGCGGTGTTGTGAACGGATCATCATTGCGTTCTGCTATGTACTTGTTGTCATCACCCTGCCAATCTCAGTCATCATTTGTTTCAAGGTACGTATTTCATAAGTTTACGTATGCATATTTCGGTTCAAGGATAGAGAACATGGGTCCCAATAAAACCAATGTCATTTACATCAATATAAATATAATATTATATCAATATAATAGGTTAGGGTTATGGTTAGGGTTATTGTTAGGGTTAGGGTTAGAATCAGGGTTAGGGTTAGGGTTAGGCACATTGGTTTTATTGGGACCCATGTTCTCTATCCTTGGGCCCATATTTCTGCTATACCGTCATAGTTTGTTGAAAAAATATTTCTTATACTTGATATTTTTGCATTTTCATGTAGAATCTGAAGTTGTACGAACGAGCTGTTATCTACAGATTGGGACATCTCATGCTGCCTGCTTGTGGCCCTGGTAAGAACCTAATTCATACACAGATCCGTCTCAAACATGCATTGAAAAGAAAGCTAGTTTTCACATTGATTTTACTGCAAATATCATATTATAAAATTTTCGTCCAATTTCATTATATGTAAATTTTATTACAGGCTTGGTGATAATATTTCCCTTTGTGGATTCGTGGTCCAGGATAGACCTGAGGGTTAGAGCTTTCAATGTGCCACCGCAACAAGTGAGTAAAAACAGCTTAAACACGCATTAACGCTGCAGCAATTGTGACCGTTGGCTGCAATTACTGTTGAAATTATTCGTAGACTAAATGCTGATATTAACTATGATACATTAAGCTGACAGGAATTGCAATAATGGCATTAGCAACAGTAATAGTGGACATTGTTGGTGTTGAGCTGCCAGTACTCTGACTGCTGGTGTTACAGACATACACCTGCTAGGGAACATCAGCTATATTGGCCACTGGCCACTTTAGAGTCTCTGAGCACTGACCGTCTGTATGTTGCAGGTGATCACGTCGGACGAGGGAGCTGTCGAGCTGGGAGCCGACGTGCAGTTCCGTATCAGCGACGCCGTGTTATCGACGAGCACTGTTCAGGACCTGAACCACGCGACGCGCGTGCTCGCACAGACAACGCTCACGAACGTCGTGCAGCGCCACACGGTGGCCGCGCTCGGCCGAGACCGCGCCGCCGTCACCACCGAGCTGCGCGATGCCGTCAACGTGATGACGCGCTCGTGGGGAGTCGAGATCGGACGCATCGAGTTGTACGTCTCCCTGGAGATGTTCTCTTGTTCGTAGCAATCGATCTCTTGTTTCTCGTGACCCGACTGTCACCGAATCATTGATTGCATGCATGTGACTAGAGTCACGTGTGCGTTGCTACATGTGCAGCAATAACAAAAGGAAATTCATGCTATCCCACCGTGAAAATTTTGGGTCGTGTTACTGATAATAAGAAATCGATTGTGAAGGGCATAGTCGAAATGTGTTTTTTAGCAGGTCCTCAGATTTGAAGGTTGTTAGTTTTACAGTCTCTCAGCAGTCGGAATGCAAAGAGCAAGCACGATAGCTTAATTACTAATAAAGGGGCAAATCCTTCATCTTTAGAGCATCAGCATCGAATGCTGCACTGCCACTGCTGTAATGAGAATTAGATGTTGGAAGCCTCACTGACGTTGTCGACTGTGCTTAAGCTGTAACCTTGCTTGCCTGCTTTTCAGGTCACAAATGAAAATACTGAAGGAGCCGACGACCGCTCATGCGAAGGTTATGTCCGTGCTGCAGAGTCTACTGGGACTGGAGGGTTCACCTTCTGATCTGAGCATGCTCTATGCTAACCCAGACCGAGCTGCACCCACCAGTGCGTGATCAACTACTCTTTACATTTTAACTGGCGACCCGAATGCAATACGATATATGCTTCTGAGATGTTTGTTTTCTCCCTTCGTCTCCCATTCGCATACGCTCACTTGTTACAATAAGCAAGTCAAGCGTATGTATCTTTAGTCTACATAACCCAAGTATGCCTATCAGATGCGTTCCTAGTTTATATATATATATATATATACGAAATGTTTGTAAGAAATGTTAACTAAGAGGTGTTATATGTCGTAAAATCTGTATATTGATAGCCCTAAACATTCCTTTACTCTATTCAGTGTCAGTACTCGTCACTGTGCACAAATTATTTTTCGTCATGCATATTTAGATCAGCTGTCATCTGCACCTGACGTGACGTCGGGAACCCCGGCGACGGAGAGCGTGGAGCAGAGGGCGCCAGGGGTCACAGCCGAGCAGCTGGTGCAGGCAGTGCGGCCCTACCTCAGCGCCACGCTGGTCGGTGCCGTCGGCGCCACCTACCAGTTCAACGTGGCGGGCGTTGCCGGTCCCGACGTGTTTCACCTTGATCTCAAGAACGGTGAGTGATCATTCAGTGGCAGTGGCACCAGGCTGGAAATGTCTCCGCGCCAGGAGAGTCGAGTGGTAGAAAGGGGGGAAAAAGTAGAAGAAAGAAATACAGTAGCATAGAGTACAAGCTGGAGATTTTCCCCAGAACATGTGGACGCGTTGTAAGAGGCGTCTGCACCTCAGAAGTTTGGATTTCATTATTTTCTCGAGTCTTTGTCGTTTTTCTTTCTTTTTTTCTTTTTAAATGTATGGCTTGCATCTTTCGATCTCGATTCTTACTAATTAAATTTTTTCTCCCGGTACGCGTGTATGTGGCAGATGTTCTGATGTCAGCAAATTGTGAATTTCAGGCAGCGGTTGTGCGGGCGCCGGCGCGCTCCCTAGTGCGACCCCTGACGTGACCTTTAACCTCAGCATGGGCGACCTGCAGCGCATGCTGTGCGGTCAGCTGAAGCCGCTGGACGCGTACATGTCCGGCGAGCTGACCATCGAGGGCAGTCTCCAGGATGCGCAGCGCCTCAGTCTACTCCTGGACGCCGTGCAGGTCAAGTGAGGTCGCAGCAGGGTCAGACAAGGTCACGGTTGTCCGCGTCGATGCTGAATGCGTTCGGTTGGGCAGATCTTTACGTGAAGCTTTTGTGATTTATTAAATGTCTTATATAGATGTGCATTGTCCATTATGAAACTGTGTTGTATAATATCGCATAACTGTATCAATTGTATTAATTTAAATTCATGATCCAGGGTTCGAAATCCTAACGCGGGCCCGATGCCCGTATTTTAAGGCTCGGGCCTGACATTTTTAATGCTAGCAGGCCTGACAGGCCCGTAGAAAATCCACCCCAGCATGCAACAAGCAGCATGCACTAGTGATCTCAGCGCCGGATTCAAAAAGAAATGTGTTCGCAGAAAATTTAGAACACCTCGCGCACAACTTTAGTTGTCATTTAATAAACGTGCGTGGGAGGTTCGTACGCACTGGTTAGCACAGGTTCCTGAATCCAGACTAAAGCAGCGTTGGCATATAAAAAATCAATAAGAAGTGGGTGGAGCTTACTTTGGGCCAGTGGCAGTGAACCTTACATTGTGTAGGCCAGGGTTTATTTCACACCCTTCACGTGCCTGTTAACGTGCGCTGCGTTGTGGAGTAATTCGCACATATACTAGTATTGACATCCCGCGCATTTCACGTTTGGATGTAAACAATAAAGTATCACTGATAGTTAACAAACGATCAGTATACTGTTTTAAAATAACATTACGAAGATTTAGGTAATATAGCATGTTTAATTATACAGTGAATAATAATAATTGTCTCAAGTTGACATAAGTCACTGTAGCTGCAAAGAACGTCATATTACTTACTAGCCATGCGAACAGCTGTACAGCCTCGTCGCACCACTCAGGTTTAACCGTGTCATATTGTTTTTAATGTTTGGAAAAACTATATACATTTTATACAGGGTGGAGCTAAATAAAAGCTTCCCTACGTTATGAACAAACGTGGTTTACGTAAAACACCTCTCCGTGATGTGCTTTATCATTTGCATAGCTTCCTGCCTCCCAATATTCTGTACACCATCTAGCACATCAGGCAGAATGTTGGCATTAAGAAGAATGTCATCTAAATATCGGATTGGTAATCAATGTTGGCATTTGAAAATCCCAAAGCAGCACGTACAACAACACACCTAGTCCATTGGATGGTGGCGCCTCCAGCACAAAGCGGTAGATTTTGGAACGAGTTTGGAGCATAGGTTTGAAGTGCCCATGGTCGGTTTTCAAGTGAACCATCCATAAAATGCCGTGACAGAACACATTTGAATGTAAACAGTAAAGTATCACTGGTAGTTAACAAACGATCAGTATACTGTTTTAAAATAATATTGAGAAGATTTAGGTAATATGATGTGCATTGCAGGTTGGCAGGCAACAATTATGATTAGAAGAGTGCCAGCCATGGGCTGCCCCGTGTTTTTGCCTACACACACGAGCATTCACTGATTCAGCCTTCAGTGTGCTATAGTCTATAGACAGACTGCTTTAGAAAATAATATGATTTAAGGAGCGTAAACCTTGTTCAACAAACATTTGCCTTTGCAATTAAACTGTGCAACTGTAGCCTCACATTCACACAGGTATGGGCTCTAATAATAGCAAAAGCAGTTCAGTCCTTTGTTAACAGTCAACAAATCAATGTTTAACCCTCCTCTTTAGGGTCAAAAGGTTATGCAACACTTACTCTTCGCATGTCAGCGAAATGTACATTTTATGGTCCTTTCAATAAAGTCATAAAAATGGTAGTCACCGCTGAAAATAAAAAGTTTTTCAATCGCTCTGTCAGACATTCGACTCAAGCAAATGCTCTAAAATCAGCCCCTGTGCCCCATTGACCTTGACTCCAATATTTGGCGCACAGTGTGTTGGCTTGATCCTAACCATGAATGCCTGAGAGAGCACGGGGGGGAGGGGTGAATCCCGACCAGTGTGTATACGACGTTTATTTGAGTGGGAAAACTATCAGAGCCTAGTCCGAGCCGTTTAGATTTGTGCCGCAATTCTGCACAATTTCTCTTTCCTATACTTAAGTCTAAGGAGGTCAATGTTCCCTTCTTTTTACACCTCTTGACCTTTGCAGACCTGTGGGCCAAAGTGGCATGACTTGCCAAAGTTGCATAAAAAGAGAGTAACATGCGATAATTAGGAAAGACCGTCAAAGCTTTTATTATATCAAACAAAATAACTGAAACGAGATAATATAAACAAAGAGTAGCCCCCCAGTTCGACCCATCCAAACCGTTTCGAGTGTCCGATGCGGAATGTGTAGGACCGTGCTCAAGTTGGGTAACCAGGGGTCAGAATATTAACCAGGCCAGAGTCTTCAGGTGAGAACTTTTTATGATTTTTTGTTGCTTAAAACATTTCTCCTCAACAGCAAAATATCTCGAGAATGCATAAATAGTACAGCGCTCGGCCATTAAGGTGGAACAAGAGGAGGTATAGCATATCGGAGGGATAGTGCAGTGGCAATTAATGTCAAAAACGAAAGGTGAGTACGTATAAGTATGACTTGTTGATTGTAAGGAGATTCCAGTAGGCGACAGATAAGGTGTATTAATGATATTGGGAGTATGGGAGCGTAAAGAGTATATTGGATAGGGGCATGAGTCGTGAAAGTGGGGAACGGGAACTGGAAGAGTGTTGTGTGCCCCAGGGCGTACGGGGGCAGATAAGAGTAATAAGGATGATCAGAAGAGCAATATTAGAAGTAAGGAAGTGTCAGTAGTTAAATGAATATATAGTTTAAGTTGATAGCGGTGGAATTGAAGTTATCGAAGCACCCGACAGAGTGAGCGCTGGAAGATAGACCAATTAAAAAAGCGAAATTAGAACAAAAGGGATAGAAAGGCAAATTGTTGACTGGAGTTTTTTATTACACGGGGGTTGCGAGGAGGACAGCGAGAGTGATGTGGGTCAGGGCTGAGGGGGCGTGGTTGATTGGT